CTCGATGGCCAACAGTCTGTTATCCAGGTAGTCCATGAGTCCCTGGTAGTAGTTTTGCGCTGCAGTTAGTGTCCAGAATGCAGAGAGTACAAACAGAAAAGCCTGCTTCATTGTGATCCACGGCAAAAGTTTATGTGCGTCTGTTTGGGAAATGTACAGTCCCTCTCTCCTTTTCCCCGTGTGCAGCTGCTATCCTCATCTGCAATCCTCAAACAACCAGGAGCATTGTATGGTGAGCACAGAGCAGGGCACAGACTGCAGGAGGGACGAGGTGAGATGGTCAGAGAGGAGGAGGAGGAGGAGGAGGAGAGGAGGAGGAGAGGAGTCTTTCAATGGACTCACTTTGCTGGAAAGTTTGGAGCAACTTTCTGGGAGGAGCATGACTGTCCTGTAAGAGCAAAAACAGAAGCAGTCAGTAATTACTGTTAATGATGAAATCAAATAGGCATCCTGTATGGAGGATGGATGTTCCTCATTATGTCTTGCTTTCCTCTAATCAAACTCACATCAGACTGACCTGTGTGTCACTCTGAACTGAATTCTTCACATGATCAATCTGGAACAACTCAACGAAAGAGATCGGAAAACGCAAAATGTTATGAATACTGTGGATCTCTTTGGAAGTTTTTAGGATTTATTTTGAAATATGTTGGGCTTCTTAATTGAGTTGTGTCCACTGTGCCCATGAAGAAAGGTTTTTAATTGGTTTGATTGATTGATTGAATCTGATTGGTGGAAGCGTCACAACAGCTAAACAAGATGAAAAATCAAACTTTTGTTACATTGAAAAGCACATGGTCCCTGTCCACAAATGCACAAAGTTCTTACCCTCTGCACACAGTGTTGGGAAGGTGACTTTTAAAATGTATTCAGATCACATGTATGAAGTACATGTGTCGGTGTTACCACGTTTGTGTTGGTTCCTTTTGGCTCTTTGCCTTTGGCTTCTACACAAACCTCAATGCTTCGATATGATTGGTCCGCCCAGTTATCCTTACATGCCAAGATGGATTCCCTTAAGTTTGTGAACTCACACGTATCGCGGAGATCTATGTCCTGTTCAAGATGAGGTTTCCTCTGGGCACTCCAGTTTCCCCCGTCAACCCAAAACATGTACAACAAGTCAAATCCTCCAGCCATGGTAGTCCTGACTAAGGCTGCGTTCAGACTGCAGGGCTTAACGCTCAATTCTGATTTTTTTGTGAAATCCGATGTTTTTGTGAGGTCGTTCACATTTCCAATTAAATGCAACTTGTATGTGATCCCCTGTGTGAACGTTAAACGGCCCGAAAGTGTCCCGCATGTGCACTGGAGACACGACGACGTCAACTGCTGCGACAACATGGACGCAGCATTGAGCACCTGGAGATTTTAAAGCTCCTCTTGTATTGGAGCCAACATGAATAACTTACTTGTTTTAAGGAGGAGATTGAGAAGGAGAAGGACGAGGTTTTTGGCCGTGGTGTTTTGTGGGACAGCGGCAGCAACGTCCGTTGAAAGGAACGTGTGGATGTGGAGACGGAGTCAAGAGTGGTGAGTGGTGATGTGCTTCGCTTCAGTGACACAGAGTTCATTAACAATTTTCACCTACTTCAGCGCAAAATAGTGACGTTTATGGCTTATTGAAAACGTGTAGGTCAGATGGATGCGCTTTGGATGTTCAGACTGAAATCTCATGTCAAAAGATCAGATATGTATCAGTTTCAGGAGCACATATCCAAGTGTCCTGGGTCACATTTGAAAAAAATCGGATCATTAAAAGGTCAGATACAGGTCACATAGAGGCCAAAAAATTGGATTTGGGTCACTTCAGACTGCAGTCTGAACGCAGTCTAATGCCGGGCGTACACTGTGCGATATTTTCGGTCGTGTCACTCAGCCCCAGCTTAAACTGTACGACCAAATCACAGAGTTTAAAAGTTCACAGCTCACGAATCATGTTCTCACACTGAACGAACCGATGCTCGGATGCGACTTGCCTGCTCACACTGTACGTTCACATAACGACCGGAGTTGTCAAAGTTGTTGTTCCGGAAGTAGAAAACCACGAAGAAGAAAACCACGGAATTAGAAAACCACAGATGTTCGGAGACACAATGCTGAGCCACTTCTGTGTCCGCGCATGCGCAGTCTCGTGGAACAACTTCAACAGAGAGAAATCCTCACGAGAGGCGACTGGATTTCAAACAAGTTTGATTTTCTTGCAACCTACGAATGTCGATCGGGAGCTGGTCGTGAGTCATTAATCGGTTTTCTTTACCCCATGTAAACTACACGAAGCACGACACACGATGAAGCCAAAACTTGGCCCGATCCCCAAAACAGTCGCACGAGCGAAAAATCGGCTCAAAAAGGGTCAAAAATGGCACAGTGTACGCCCGGCCTAAGACTACATCAAGATCTGGAGATGTGTCCCTGAGCTGCACTGCATCAGACAGGTTGCCCCAACAGTACTGAAGGATGTGTCGAATGCAGAGAACAAATTTCCCTAAGGGGACATTTCCTTAACCTTAACAAACATATATTATCCTTGTGTCTGTTATACTGGATGACACCAGTGGATCATTTTGTCATAATTTGCACAGTTTAAATAGCAAAATCCATTATTACAGATTACGAAAATACATTTTTTTTCATGTCACAGTTCAGACCAATATGGCGTCTCGGAAAGAAGCGATTAAAGATGACTCAGTCACTCCAAATACAACTTCCAGAGGTTAAATGAGAAGGTGAACCAACTATAACAAGTCAGTTTTGCAGAATAGGTCTTTTTAAACTCAATTTGAAGTAAAACATTAAGTTAAAATGTCTTTTCAATCAAATTACTTAAATTTTAGTCTTCTTTTGACTTACTTTCAATTTCTAGCACAGTTCCACACACTCAGACCTTCAATAAACTATTTTCTGCATTATTCTTTCAGTCTGCAGTCAATGGTAGGTGGAGCTGTTAGTGTAACCACAGCTGCCCTGGAGTAGATGAAAAAAGGCTGTCAATAAATCAATCAGTCAACCAATCATTCTCACATTATTCAGTCTAACAAATGTGGGGGTCTTGCCAAAGGACACAACAGCAGAGTGCACTAGTGCCACTGTGGGTATTTCAAGTGGTCTCTCCTCCAAGTACTTACTTTTTGCTCTTACTTTGCCTGAATTAAAGCAGAACTGGATAGATATTTGTTTTAAAGGGCCCATATTATACTATCATACTATACTATACTATACTATATACTATACTATATACTACTATTATACTATTATACTATTATACTATCATATACTATACTACTATACTATACTATTATACTATTATACTATACATACTACTATTATACTATTATACTATTATACTATTATACTATACATACTACTATTATACTATACTATTATACTATTATACTATTATACTATCATACTATACATACTACTATTATACTATTATACTATAATACTATCATACTACTATACTATACTATTATACTATTATACTATTATACTATACATCCTACTATTATACTATTATACTATTATACTGTACATACTACTGTTATACTATAGATGCATTACAAATTTCGGACTTCCGGTCATTGTGCAATGCATACTGGGAAGGATTTTCCAAAAAAGTGAGCATCATCATGCTTGTTTTCTCAGTGGGATGTGTCTATTGACAAAGTCAGTCTTTTCTAGTCTTTTGAACCATATCACTTTTGTTTCTGGTTCTGATATTGTCATATTTTAGTTTTGGGATTGGGACATTGTAATTATGTGGTTGTTGGATCCTAACAGCAGAAAACGGCTCGAGAAATGGGCTTTGGAAGTTTGCAAACTCCATAACTGCAAAAGGGAATCAGATGTGTGTGACTGCAAACCTCTGTTCAAACTGTTTCCCTTCCCAACGGAATTGAAAAATAGTGAAAGGTGAAGGCGATGGGAAGTATTGATACACAGGAAGGACTAAAAAGGAAACCTTTTGCAGCGAACATTTTGTATGTGGAGCTCCAACAAAGCTGGATCCCATTTGTTAAGCGAGAGGTACAGAAGACAAACAGACTGAGCTGCACTTTCTTGTTCTTGTGGCTTTACAGCAACATCACATCTTGGTCTCTTTGCAGTGGAAGGTGTTTCTTAGTGAACAGCTGGTGCCTTTCGCTTTGGCGTTGACTTTTTAAATTCATAACCAAGGTTGAACGAGGGATCGGGATTTTGCTTTGTTGGTGCTCCACATACAAAATGTTCGCTGCAAACTCGGGATGATTTAGGCAGTCAAAGGTTTACTTTTTGGTCCTTCCTGTGTATCAGTACTGCCCATCGCCTTCACCTTTCACTATTTTTCAATTCCGTTGGAAAGGGAAACAGTTTGAACGGAGGTTTGCAGTCACACACATCTGACTCCCTTTTGCAGTTATGGAATTTGCAAACTTCTGAAGCCCATATATGGTGAACCCCACCACATACTTACAGTGTCCACATAATTACAATGTCTGAATCCCAAAACTAAAATATGACAATATCAGAACCAGAAACAAAAGTGATATGGTTCAAAAGACTTGTTAATAGATAATCCGACTGGGAAAACAAACACGGTGGTTTGATGCTCACTTTTTTGGAAAATCCTTTCCAGTATGCATTGCGCCATGACTGGAAGTCCGAAGTTTGTGATGCATGCATTATACTATTATACTATACATACTACTATTATACTATTATACTATTATACTATTATACAATTATACTTTTTATACTATACATACTGATCTATGTTCTAATGTAGTTTCATCACAAACAGACCTGGAGTTTGTTTGGTTTCAGTCACACATTTAACACACAAACCCTGCACATTTAGGCTGAGTTATTTTTTCTCCAACAGAAAACTCTGTTCCCCCTTGTGATGTCATGTTGTAATACAGGAAGTGTTCCACTGTGTTTTTAAACTCCATACACCTTCACTAGAATCATGCGGATATTTTCAGCCCTGGAATTGGTCATTTCTACTAAACAAATGGTTAAAAGTTGTGAACTTGAAAACTATCACTTCCTGACATCACGAGGTAGATTAATTTCTCTAATATAGGACCTTTGAAACATTCTATCTCCTAATTAATTAATATATATTC